AAGGTAATTAAGCGCTTATATTTTCGTATTTATTTTAATTTTGCGAATAACTTTGGTTTGAAAAAAGATATCAAGATGTTGTTTTCGCTGACTTGTTAAGCTTTTATTACTCTTTGCTATCAGCTAAAATTACATATACTATCGCATTTAATTTTTTTGAAAAAACGCGCAATGTTTGTTAAATTGAAAGACAACGCCCCCTAGCGTCTACGTTCAAAAGCTTATTATTATTATTTATATGGTACAATATAGAGTAAGAAACGTTGTTTTAAACGAGCACTCGCTTGTTGGATTCCGATCATCCAGTCCGGAGTTATTAATATTTAAATAAAAACAGATCTAACCTCCCCCCACTACTTTATTTTAGCAGATAGGGAAAATGGTTCTAACAAGAAAGATCCAAAATTTACTGAAGATTATGAAGCTATTATTTATAGTACATCGTATCTAGTCAAAATTTCTTAAAAAATCCATTTTGTTATTTTCCATAGCAGTTACGTCCTCTAGCGGCCGTCCTATAAACTTGAAAATAATTTCCAGTAATTTCTCATGATCTCATTAGTTATAAATATTTTTTTCCGCAAGCTCTACGATTCTTTCCGAGATACAGCCGAGAGCAATTCTTAGTGGGACACCCGGTACAATAATTAAATATTAAAAACGCAATCGCAGTTTCAATTGCGATTGGAGAATCGCAGTGTTGCTCATCTCTACTTCTTTTCTAAGCAAAGACAGATTGCGGACTTGGCGAAATCACGGGTACCTACGAAATTAAAAAACATTGGCGTGCCGGCGACAGCAAGAAAAAACAAAACACGATCCGCTACTACCGGCGAGAGAATCGACCGTCGTCGTCGCGGGTCCGCGGATCTCGCCAATGAAACAACGTAATGCGGTAGCTATAGAAACGTAATCCCTGTTTGTCTTATTGTAAAAGTAGAATGAATCCGCCTGGCCACGCCCCTTTCGTATCCGCGTCCTTGTCTCGCCCGGCGAAAGGGTATGAGGCTGTCGCGATCGCCGAAGCCGGTTCGCGGTCACCGGCTACATTGTATGCCGCCGGACGGTTTTTTTCTCGGATTTGTATTAGTCCCGCGATTGTCGCGTTTTCTTCAGTCTCTGCAGGGATGGGTACTTTTTATTTTGTTAGGTTTACTACTCGTAAGTTACCATGGTTTTTTAGATACTTTAATCGCCAAATTCTGAAAAAAATAGTTTAATATCATTAATATCAATAAAGCTTAATGTCGAATAAAGTTCAGTAACTACTAAGTGACTGTTTCTAATTGAAGAAACGATTCCACAGTTAAAAACAGATCCCACGAAGAATTCCATTATATCTTTGCATTATCATAGGAGACCAAATTTCCTTCCTTTTTATATAAGGAAAGAACGAGGTTTAAAACAATACTTTGTGGAAACTGCCTCTATAACTAACTATCTATAGTATTATGAAGGTGTTTTAAAGAAATTTACATTAACATGTTAAAATAATAAAAAAGTATGACGTTAATCACAATTAATACTAACCATCTATCAGGGAATGGAAACGAAATGATATTACCATAGAAACGCGTTGTGATTATTGGGAAGAAAAAATTCAATTATTATATATTGATATTATTGTATATTTCTCTAAAACCGTATGGAAATTTGGAAAAGTATATACAGAATACCATTTTAGAACAAGCAAAAACTTTTATGAAGAATTTATGACATTTTTCCTCAAAAATTTAATAACAAAAAGGTTTTTCTTGTAAAGGAAATCCGGGGACAACTGTAGATTCACTAGATTCACAGTCATTCCTCGGTTTAGCTCATGTAAGTCCTTACTTTTCTTTTAATAGACACAAATCGCCATAAAAGCTTCAAAAGCATAAATGGTTTTAAACGCTAAACACATTTATATCGAATTAATTAATTGTGTGTGACCGTACACTTTTCTACGCGTGCGTCTAGTTTGACAATTGATAACGAAAATTTACTTCGATAGATTATCCACTGTTGAGAAAATCTATATCCATTATGGCCGCTTTTAAGCGCCGTTGTCACATATAGCAACAAATACAGGAATTACTATAAAAGAGCTATACCGAAACTAAACAGTGACCAGTAATATGAGGTGGGGCATCATCGTTGGAAGCATAGCAAATCGTATGCAAATTTTGAAATATCCAGATATTGGCTTCCCTGTTAATTTTACAGAGAAGTTGTAAATAGGTTTTTAAAGGTCTGCCGTACGCTGAATACACATACCAAATTTGACCAATTTTGGACAAGCCGATTTTAAGTAATTTAAGAAAAACTGCATATATTTTTCAATTAATAGGTAAACATTGCAAAACCAGGCAATTGCCAACGTACCTTAAGTTGCCATCCTATAATTTTCCCAATGTTAAATTGTATTTTCTAAACATTAGGCTTTTGCCTCATTCGAACCTGTTTTAAATTATAAAAGTACATTTTAGGGACCCGAAGCATAGGTAGTATAACATAGTAATGTAGACAGCACAACAAATTAGATTGGACAATGATAAAATCATGAGTTAACTTTTGAACATAAGGTATGTTGACATTTGACTGGTTTTGCAACATTGTTACCTGTTCAGTTTTAATTTAAAAATAGATGCAGTTTTTCTTAAATTACTTAAAATTGGCTTGTCCAAAATTGTTCAAATTTGTCATGTGTATTCAGCATAGGCAGACTTTTAAAAAACCTATTTACGTATTAAATGCGTATTTATCTTAGATAGGAACTATCGAAAACAGGAAATTGTCATCCTATCCGATAGTCAAGCAGCACTTAACGCGATCAACTCAGTAACCATCAATTATGTCGGTCAAAGAATGCCTAGAGAAGCTCAACAATTTAGGAAAAGAAAATGAAGTCCTCCTACCCTGGGTACCTGCTCACCAAGGGATAGAAGGCAACCCACTAAACCAAACCACTAACTGGTCCAGAACCGTTCTGTTTTCCAAACGGGAACCAATTGAAAGCGGAACTGAATAATCTGGAAGACTCCATCCGTAACTTGGAATGGGTGTCCTCCAACGGTCTAAGGCACTCGAAAAAGTTCCTCAGAACTTACATCCGAGAAAAATCAAAGGTTTTCCTGGATTTAAGTAAAAACAATCTTCGGATTGGCACGGGCTTTTTAGCAGGACACTGTCTCCTCAACGAACAAACACCTCGGTAGGCTGAAGCTGAGAAACAACGGCGAATGCAGATTCTGTGGGGAAAATCCACGAGAACACCTTATCACTGAGTTCGCCGAGACGACGACCGTTCGTGCCATGAACTTTGATACGGCTGATGTCGAGGATGGAGAGCTGGCCTCTGTGGAGCCGTCTCAGATACTGGCTTTTGTTAAAGCCCTGAGACTGTATGATGAGTTATAACTTGTTAGAACTCAAGAAAGGGGAACACACAATAGATCTGTAAGGTCGCGGTGATTAACTCTCCTCCTAAACATTCTACATTCTAGCTGTAAAATTAATAGGGAAGCCAATATTTGGACAGTTCAAAATTTGTGTATGACTACATCAAATATTAAATTTCCTATGCTAGATAATTTAAAAATATCAATTTTTACGCTCCCAACCCTGGTTGGTCTCCCATCCTCCATCAGAAACAACGGTCACTCGAACTATTAAAACGGATTTATCGGCCGACCAGCGTAGGGGAAGAGTGACTGGTCCGGCGGTGGTGCTGACAAGTTTTTTTCCCGTCTTCGGATTTCCTTCGTCGTCGCGCGGCCGTTAGGATGCCGAAGGGTCGTAACAACGTAGAAATCGTCCGGTTTTGTTATTGTCCGGTTTTTTGCCGGTTTGAAAACGAGCCAGTACGAGCGTGAGTTTCGATTCAAAAGGCATGGAGGTAGTTAGAGCGCTAGTTATGGCTATATTTTGAAAAGTTACCGGCGACTGTTAGAGATATAGCCACAAAAAAAAACTTTTAATAAAGACGTCAATGTTTTGCTCTCATTTGACAAAAGTATAATAATATTCTTAAATAACTGAGCGATTCTACGCTTTAAATATTATATTATTAAAATAACATTTTCTTATTGTCAGTTCAATATTGAGCTAGCACTACAGCTCAGTACTGACCTACTGAGTCGAGAATATTTTTAATCATGTTAAAGTACAAGGTGAGCCAACGATAGAGTCAATATACAGGGTGAATTTTAAATAAGTGCAAATATTTTCAGGGTTGGTAGATCTCAATAAAAGAAAAATATTTTCTCTTTACTGTTTTTCAAATAAATCTAAAATAACCGAGATATTTTACTTTGAAAATTCCCAAAAAAAATGATTTTTTGCTAAAATTTTGAGATCTTTTCTGGATTTTCTTTCTTGTAAATTTAATTTACAACCTATGTTGTCATATTTATTAACAAATTATATTTTTTTAACTAAAACTAAAAAAAGTTCCAAAATTTTTCCCAAAAAATTCCAAATTTTCAAAAAAAAAATTCGCGAAAAAAACTCATAATCGTGTTTCTGGTGTCGAAATTTACCATCTCTAAAAATATTTGCACTTATTTAAGACTCACCCTGTATATTCGATACCAATTAAACTTTCAGTTACGTAATCGAGGGCGTAATTATTAAATCCATTGTTGCCAACTATGGACATATTCGACGCCGGGCTCACTATCTGAAATTTGAATTTCCCGCTGGGGATTCAGGCGGTAGCTCTGCTGTAAAAAATGTCAAGTTTGACACTTTAGTTTCGTATTACGAGTGTGTGCCCTTAACCTTCCCTATAACTTTTATATTTAACATTTTTTTGTAAACCTCGAAACAAATGCGATAATGTACTCTATCGTGGACTCACCCAGTACATATAAGTGTTAGACGTATGAGATATTAGGTAACAACAACACTAACTTCCCTGGTTAGTCAAAGAAATATAGACTAATAGATATAAATCTTAAAACTAAGTTTGTATGTAAATTACTATTAGAACAACTACGCAAAAACAACACCAAACTCACCGTTAGCTCCGAACATGGCATGGTGCACGTACTGATTCTGCACCCCAAAGTTGGCATTGTTGCCCATGGCGTACAGCTGCTGGAACAAGCTCTCCGGCGTCTCTTCCTGCTCCCTCTTGGCACCCGGCACCTGCATACCGGCCATCTGCAGCAACTGCAAATGCGCGCTGTTGTTCATCTGGGACTGCTCACCGGTACCCTGCTGACTGGCCTGTGGATCTGTAGCGTTCACCGGACCCGAACCACCAGGAAGTGGCGGAACTTGAAACTCTCCCCCGCTCTCGTTCATGTCTTTGGAACTTTGCGACTCCAAGTGCATTCGTACGTTGGCGATGTGACTTTTCGTGAATATGTGGTCCTGAACTGAGTATTTATGCGAGTACTTAAAGTTGCAGTACTTGCAATCTTCGGGCAACGGTTGTGTATCACTTTCCGGCTGACCGAGTACCTTCTGTAAGGCAATCTTCCCCTTTTTTTCTTTGGCACGGGCGTTTTGAAACCAAACCTGAATTACCCGTTTTGGAAGACCGATTTCTCTGCCCAGACTCTCACATTCGGCCATTGTAGGCGTCTTGTAATCGGAGAACAGAATTTTCATTATTTTCACTTGAACGGGACTCATTTGGGTGCGAAATCGCTTTGTACCGCTGTGCTGAGAACCACTCGAAGCGTTCAGTTGCCTCTGGGTGTTGCTCTGAGTACTGCTCGCAGGGGAAGTCGGATTGCTTTCGTCGTCTATACTATACTCCATCGTTTCGGACATAGAATCACTTCGTTCGTCGCAAAGTGATCGTTCGCTGAGATCCGTCAACGGACCTGGATCGCACAAGCTCCTTTCGTGTTCCAAAGAAACTTTCATTGGTCTGGAAAGATCCACAGGTTTCGATAGGTCCAAAGGAATCTCTCCACCTTCGCCTTTTTCACTTTTGATTTCGCACTTATCACCGTTAGATGACGAGGCGTGTTGTTGCAGCTCGCTAATATAACGTTTCATACTTTCCTCGTAATACTTCTTGATAGAAGATTCCATATCCGGATGTAATGAAGGAAACAGAGGTGGCATCAGGCTAGGATTTTTTTGTTGGAATTTACCATCACCCCCACTGGATAAGCTGGGGGCGCTTTCTAAACTAACTTCCTCATCAGGTAAAGCGTCGATGTTGATTTCACCCCTGGCGCATTGGTCGGCGTGCTTAGTGGTTAAATGAGATTCTAGCGCGCTCTTTACTTTGAACAATGCCGGGCAAAATGGACATCTCTTATTGATCACTTGAGTGTGAGCTCTGAACTGGCCTTTTCTTTCCCTGGCACGTGTGTTTTGAAACCACACCTGTACCACCCGTTTCCTTAACCCGATCTCTCGTGCAATATTTTCCAACATTTTTCTGGAAGGGTTGCTCTCGATTTGATATTTTTGATATAAATAATCCAACTGTTCGGGTAAAATAGTCGTTCGCAGTCTCTTGTCTTTGGGCTGATCGCTCGTGTCGCTCTCATTATCCGCAAAGTCCTCTACTTTTCTTTTCTGTCCAGTAACATTATTTAACATGTTAATTAATGGATGAGGTACGTTTGAAGCTTGATTAACTTGACTGTTTTGTTGTTGTTTACTAACGTCGCCAATATTAGCGTTTAACTGCTGAAGTTGGGCGTGTTGTTGTAAAATTCCGAAAGGGCTATCTGGTGGATAAGTTGGGAACAAATTTGGGTTCATTAAATGTACAAGTTGGTGTTCCCTCCATAACTCGAATCGAGGAAATACTAAATTACATTTGTCGCATTCAAAAGTACCTTCTTTCGTTTCCGAAGGTGTTGGAGAAGAACTGGGATAGTTAATACCTCCTTGACTAGGCGTAGGTGTAGTTGGAGCGTTGGGTTGAGTTGGACTTAGCGCCTGATTCGAACTCTGCGCTTGCTGATTCGGTAAGGTCGGAGTTTGAGGTAAGGACTGCTGCTGTGCCATTACCTGCTCAACTATCGTACTAGAGTTCGAGTCTTCAGAACTAAGAACAGCAGCGATCTGTGCCGCAGCAGCTTGAGCCTGAGCACTTCTTTTAGCGTCTTCTTCTTTAAAACAATGCGTCTTTTGATGTCTGATTAGTTCGTAATACCTTTGGAACACCAAAAGGCATTTCTTGCATTGATAATTCAGTCCGGGCGTTCTTTGAAATCGGTTAGCACCGGATTCGTCAATTCCAGGAGCGGGTTCTGCAGCCGGTTGGTTCTCGTAGACCTTGCGAGCCTTTTGGCGTGCATTCTGGAACCATACGACTATAACTCTAGGACTCAGATTCAACAATTTCGATAGATATTCCAAATCGTCGTCCTTGGGATAGGCGTTATTTTCAAAAAACTCCTGAAGCACCTTAATCTGGTAATCGGTAAATCGGGTGCGATTGGCTCGTTTACCGGTTGATCCACTAGAACCCTGGCTTCCGGGATTCGAGTAGTCCCGGCTGGGACTCAGACATCTGTTAGGTGTCAGAGGTAACATTCCTTGCATGTTGTTGGGATTAGGAAAGTTCTGTTGGTTCATTTTAGGTGGCGGAAGCATAGGACTGGCGAGACCGTGATGAACTTGCATGGAAGCCATGTTCAATGTAGGCGTGCTCGTGGTCAGAGTATCACCCAGTTGCGAGGCTATGATGGACGTTAAAGTTAGATTATTCGGAGTAGAAGGTTGCGATGACACGTTCATACTTTCAGAAGAAGCTACGGACGTAGCTGGACTCTGAGGCGGTTGGAGATTTCCTGGTAGATTAAAAATATTCTGTACTTTATCTTCCATAGAATCGTTTTGTTTGTGTTGTAGATTAATTTGTTCGTCAATAGGTTCTTCTTTGATCTCTTGTTTTATATCAGAGTGTTGAATGTTTTGTATGATGGGAGATGGAGATTCTTTACTCTTATTCGCTTCATCTGAACTACTTCCGGATGAGTGATTTAAAGGCATCACCTTAGCTTCGCCAGTTTTCTCGTACTCTTCCAGATTTAAAGTGGTTGATGGTGGATTATTAAAGTTATAAGGACTGTCTTTATTTCGTTGGCGTTCTTTAAACAGCGTATTGCGAAACCAGTGTTTTATAACTTTGGGAGGTAGACCGCTCTGATTGGCCATTTCGTGAATCTGATCTTCGGAGGGAGAGTTGTTGATGTCGAAATGTGAGCGTAATATTTTCAGTTGCTCATCGGTGATTCGGGTCCTTGCGCGTTTCTGGTTAGCAGCATTGGCCACCTGAAATTCAAAGAAAACAATCAATATCAGAACACAGAATGGATTAATTATCGTTAAAAGAATTTGTTGGATCGCTGCCTAACAGGATATGCTAATTAATGTTCGAAAAGCGCCGAAGAGAGTCGAAGGAAGAGACAAACGAAGCCGATATTAGTCAGATTTACGACGATATTTTACTAGTCTCACGATAAACACACGCCAGTCTTAATAAATTGTAACAAATTGGCCGTAAATCAATTAAAGATTATTATCACAATGCAAGGCTATAGACGTACAAAGCGGCAATTAAAATAACAGAGGGGATTGGGGACCTCTGCTTTAAGAAATTCTTTAAGCAGTTTTCTTTGCACCCAGAGGCGATATATCAGATAATACTTTTTACAGATATACGTTATATTAAGTGAATATGACGCTGTTTGGAATTTAAAATTAATATGCGTCTTGGCATAAATATTCAAAAGTATTTCTAGTTATATAGGTATCTTCGTAGTATAGTATTTAGTTCTATAGTAACTAGTAAAGTAACTATAGGGAAATTAAAACAACTTTGGGTCAACACGTCATTATGGAGTTTGCTGGTGGTCGTATTATGATGTGCAACCAAAGTTATTTTAATTTCCCTATAGTCTAACAGTTTTTTGATCAACTGAATTGATGAGTTTTTGGTCACTTCCTGTTTCAACTGAAAGGACTATAACTTTTGATTTTTAAATGGCACTCTCGCTATATTTATACTTTATTCACTAGAAAATGACACTCTGAACAGAATGACATATCGTATGTCAACTTTTGATATTTTCGCATATTATTTACTATTTGAAATTGTAATATGCGGTTTATAACAACAATTTGACTCGAAATAGCAAGTGTGTGGTACCAAATTATTTGTAAAATAATGCTTTTTTCCAAATATGCTAATGACCCGCCCTTGTTCCAATTGAGATATGATTAAAAATATAATTTTTTAACCGGCCAGGACAAGAGACGAAAAACATTAGACGATCAAAACTATTTTTCCAAGGGCCCTTGATTAAAAATTAGTGTTTTGACACAGCCATGGCACTCTAGATTGAAATTTTAAATACGATTTTTTTTAAGTCAAAATGTCAAAAGTTGACTTATGATATGTCATCATTTCCTATCGAATAAGGTAAAAATATGCCAGGAGTGCCATTTAAAAATCAAAAGTTGTAGTCATTTCCGGTGAAACAAAAAGTGACCGAAACTAATTGAATAAGTCAATCAATCCTGGTTTATGTCATGTACTGATACAGCAAATCTGTATTTTATTTCTGAAAAAAATTGAAATATTATAGGTGTGAGCCACTTTTAAAAACACCCGGTACAGTTGTAATTTGTTGATATTTTGCTGTTATAATAATTGTAATATTCTTTAAATAATGAACTTAGAAGTTTCCAAATCAGCCATATAGGATTTGTCGACTACATGTCAATAGAAAATTATATTCATTAGCTTGTAATCTACTCTTAGTTCTAATATAATTTATCGATTGTATACCTACTAATTATAATTATAATACTATAATATTCCTTGAAAGTTTGAATACGTCTTTGAATATAAAATGTATAATACGTCTCTGTATGTAAAAAAACCGATAAAAAATGATTCTTGCTGACCCTGTATGAGCTGTTTTTCACACCAACTGTATAATGGGTCTCACGAAATTCATGTCGCTTACTCTGATTACCCGACGATAAAATTAGCATTCGAATTGGGTACGGTTCATAATGAATATTTAAAAATCAATAGAGACAAAATCTGGCAAACAAGCAGGTCATAAAAATGACCAAAAGCGTTGGTCTTGGACTAACAACCGTGCATACTAAACAATACTAGTACTGAGTCATACGTTAAAAAAAGATTCTTTGACGTACGACAGTGTACGGGTATAAAACTATTAATTATAATAATTTGCTCGTGTACACGAATAAAAACGTAAAAATAATTGTGGGAAGGTATCGGGAACGGGATAATTACTTGACGAAGAATTGTTAGATTATTATTAACTTTCTAGGAGCTGGTTAGCACGTTGGTTAACAGAACCGTATTCATTATTCTATTGAAGATAATTGAAAAGTAAAGAAAATAATATGTTACTGTAAACACCAAACGCTAACGAGAAAATCTGGATGAAATATAATTTATAAAGTTGTTCGGGAAAATTAATAATAAGATTTGTTTAAAAACTTGATATTAAAATAATTTGTTTGTGGTTTCTCCTAAAACCACAAGTTTTATAGTTGCTTAACTATAATAGTTATTTGTGGACGACCGAATTGAAATTCTTATTTAAATGTTTATTAAAAAGTTTTTTACAGTAATGTCGCAGTTTGAACAATTCACTAAGGTAATTGATGGACAAACTTCTTTTCTAGTAGTCCTTTGAATTTTATTCTCATTTCATTCTCACCTCTATGGAGATTTCGGGTTCTTGTTCTTCATTTAAAACTCTTTTCCGGAATGTTGCTGCGAGGTGTCTACTACTAGTACTTGGCTTACCTTCCAGGATTTGACAATTTTAATCAAAAACATAAAACAACATTAAAAAAAAACAAAATTTACAATTTTTTTCTTTTTAGTTAAAGTCGTCATTAATAATCTCACGGTGTTATTTGCAATAGTGCAAAAAATAAGTTACTTTTTGCATTAGAGTAAAAAATTTGACTGTAATAGATACAGTAGATAGTGTAAAAAATAGCTAATTTTTGCACGATCGTAAAAAAATATTTTTAAGTGATTTAAACAACGTTTATTTCGATAGACAATTTCTTCTTAGCATTTTTCGGTATTGACATATTATGTTTAATTATAAAAAAACAGCAGGTTCAGTCGTGACCGACTAAGTTAAGGAAAAACTACCAAATTAAGCGAGGATGCAGTCAAAAATCACCACATAGGCTAATAAAACTACTTTTCAATTTGTCAAGTTTTCGAGAAATTTATATCCATCATCAGGACAGTTTGAAAAGTTATTAACAAAACAATATTCTTTGCACAATACGGCCTTACAAACTAACATTATTGGACATTAGAATCACAAGGATATTTCTTTATAACTTGTTATAAAAATATTCAACATCCGTGCATATCTAAATATAATTTTTTAACAAATTATTCAAAAAGAAATTGCTACATTGTTGTTTCGAGCTCGATCAAACAGAAGCTGTTGTTAGGATACTCTAGTTATATTATATACTAGTTAGCTGTTGCTAGAATACTCTATTAATTTTAATTGTATTTTTATCGTTGTGAATGATATAAGATTTTTAAGTATAAAATTTAAATGAAACCACTAATTTATCTCACTGATGTCGAGGTTCCGAATGAGGCTTATTATTGATATTAACTACCTACTAAAATTTTGAGAATCTTGGTATTATAAAGAAAACGCATTCTTATCAAGCATTAGACTTTTTCAAACCGAGTAATTACTGCCGCCGTGTTAAAACCTCGGATTTCTGAAATATTAAACAGAAATTAACGCCGCAGCAGCCGTTCCGAGCGCCAATTACCCGGAATCTCAGCCGCGGCGGCCGTTTTCCGTTACGTCCGCCAGGGGCGTTCCGGCCGCTCTTTTCCTTCGCTATTCCAAAAATGCCCACAGCGGCGCGCCGTTCTATAATTACCATTGCCACGGCTTCGTTATCGCAAATTTCTCGTTACTATAGGGAATTAGCTCGGACTCGGGAAGAATAAACAGTTCGTTTTGCTTTTGTCGTTCGAGGTAAAACGGTCAGCGGCGGGTTCATTAGGTTAAATTGGCATTTTAATGCGCTTTGTTTAGCTAACAAATTTTTGTGAAGCGCGGTCCTAACGCAACGACATACCACCGTACTGTTGACCGAGAAAAATAAAAGATTTTTCTTGATTTAAGTAAGAACAATCTTCCGTCAACTGGACTGGACCATCAAAGGATTAAAAATAGATGGAGAATATCTCAACCTAAGATTCGCTGATGACATCATAGTCCTAATTGCCAATAGTCCTGAAGAACTAGATGCATAAATTAATGAACTAAATACAGCCAGCAATAAAGTGCGTCTTTAAATGAATTTAGCAAAAACTAAAGTAATGTACAACAAACTAGTGGAAAGAAAAGACATTTTAATAACACAACATTGGAAGTGGTTAGGTTAGGTTACATACACTGGAAGTGGATATGGTACCCACGAAGAATTAAGAGACTTAGAGGAAACTGAATAAGAAGACAAGCTTTTTTTGCTAAAGCACTAACAAATACAGATACCAAATAAATCAGTTTAACAGATTCTAATGATTAAATATTCGTCATAAAAATAAAACTATATTTCTCTTAGATAGGTACAACGAAAGTTTACCACTTTCGTTGTACTTTTTGTCTAAAATATTGCAGAAAAAATGTATTACTCTTAGGTAAAAATGCTAAAATATGTGCATCTTAATTTTGGGGATCCAATAACTGCATCAAAAATACCCTTGATTCCTCTTTCAATTTCTTGTAATTCCGTGATCTGGGTATACGCCGATATTTACAAGACATATTTGTTTTCTAAAAAACTTCAAGTTACTGACATTAGGTTGCTTAGCATTAGCCTTAATAAATAATAATTGTGAAAATATGAGGAATGTACCAAAGTTATGCTGCAGTCACAAAGATACTCCAGTTTACGGTATTCTAGATGAGTTTGATTGTTTCCTATGATTTTGCTATGTGACACTAAAAGAAATGAAATTATCGAAATTAAAAACGTAATGAAGCCTCTCATTTCATGACATTAGAGATTCAGTCAGAACATTAAAGAAGAACAAAATGAAAAGATTAAGTACACCAAACAAAAAGCCATAACCTAATTGCTGGTTGGACATTTCTAGACAATTAGCGACCCAGTAGATAATATGAAAAAAAAACAGTGGTTCATTAACCCCATTAGCTAAAAAAGGTTCATTCAAAACGACGATCCGGTAAATTACCGAAAACTTAATGGTGCATTTACGTAGT